GAAAAAAATTATATGATGTCATCACTTTTTATTCTGTGTTCCTTAGAATTGAGCAAAGATAAAAGCTAAACACTAAGCTTTGATGATGTGCATTATCCCGTAGCAGCTGGCGGTAGTTGCAACCCAAACAAAGGAACGGCCAGCAGCCCGAAGTACACAGTTCTTGCAGAGTAAAATTTGGTATCTTATTTTCTAAGGAAGGGTTTTAGACTTATCGATTTGTGAGGTTAGAAAGGTTTGGGGCGATTTTTTTTTTTTTTTTTTTTTTTGTCTCCATGACCTTGTTTATCTGAGTTGTCCCCTCTGGGAGAAGACATGAAAGATGGTTTTTGAGACAGTTGCAAATGATTTTGAAGCTAAAGAGAAAGGGGCTGCAGAATCAAAAGGGTAGATGTCAAAGAGAGAGCGAGTGTGATTGATTGGTTAGTTTTCTTTCTGGAAGAGGTGGCAAGAAAGAGAAATGTGGATTGAGGGAAAGGGAGTCCAGGGAGAGATCACTGCAAAAGTGTATTGAAATCTGGCATTTGTTTATGGAGTTTGGAATGGAGCCTAAGGGAATTATGTACCTAACTCAAAGGGTGTCGGACACTTGTCTATCTAGGGCGGGGGTGGGCAATAAGTTGCCCATAGGCCAGATGCCGTTCACCAGGCGTAGCCCCAAGCTTTTTATGAGACTCTGAGAAATATAATCATAGCACTGTAGGACAGGTAGTCCAGTCCCCGTATTCCCCAAGACAGGACTGTTACCTACACCATCCCTGACGGGTGATGTTAGCAACATAACACCGACCAGGAGCAATGGGTCAACACCAAGTAAAGGGTTGACGAAGATCTCCGAAGACGTTCTGCTTGGATTTACTTAGCTATTTCATAGAATCCTAGGGCTGGAAGAGACCTCAGGAGTCATCGAGACCAGACTCCTGCCCACAGCAGGACCAACCCTGCCTCTGCTTCGGACCAGTTCCTTGACCACAGCAAAATGGCCATTTGCTTTGAGCTTATGGAGTGGTACAAATTAAATGCAAGGAGCACCTGTAATTGGCCCACCTGCTGGTGAGCGCTCTGCTGCAGCCAAGTGGTGCTGTGCAGGGTCCTTGCCTGGTTGCCCTCAAGTCCTGGAACCAGGGCCTGACAAGCTAGTAAGTATCTGCTTGTGGCTGGTCTCTGGCCACTGGGTCTGGGTTTTACCCAGATCTAGGCTCAGCTCACACTGGGAGCAAGCCGTAGTGCTGATCTCCCAGTCAGGGTATAGACTTGGCTGGGTCGAGCTTCTTTTATACCCCTCTTCTGGGTCTTTTATACCCCTCTTCTGGCTGCTGCAGAGACAGCCACTCTATAGTATCTGGAGGACCTCTTCTCTGCTCCTCCTGCTGGGATGGGGAGCGGCTAAGGGGCGTTGGGGCCTAGCCCAGCCCATCACAGCGCCATTGAGGGGAATTGCTCTTAAACAACCCATTGAGAGAGGGCACATGTTTCAGGCCCCCTGATACAGACATCTGAGGTTCCAGCCAAGTGAAGTGCCAGGCTAGAAAGCTTAGCAGCCACCAATGACCTAAAAAGACCAAACACACCAGAAGAGAACACACAGGGGGAGAGACACTGATTCTCTTTCATCCTGACCCAGGAGGCGGCAGCGTGCGATGCCACCGTTCCAGCCTGGTGGCGTTCGGTTTGCACTTCACACTGGTGTAAATGACGGCGCAAGGGGCAAAGCAAACGGCGCATCAGGCTCAGAAACGCCTCGCTAGGCCCGCTTGTTCACGATGTTTATACAGCAGAGGTGGAGCAGGGTCTGTTTGTACAGCGCCTAGCACAGAGGGGGGGGCCGATCCCTGGCACAGGCTCCCGGATGCTGCCACGGTGTAAATAATCCCAGTGACCTCAGTGGAGCTGTGGGCCGAGGGAACGCTTTACACCTGCATCCCACCAGAGGGCAGCATCCCACCCAACTACGAAGACCTCAGCAAGGCAGACGGCATTAGCAGCCGGTTGCAAAAGGTCCAGTCTGAGCAGGAGAAGCTGAATTTTCTCCCCTCTGAAAAAAGCCCATCAGAATCCAGAGGCTGTGTAGCTATTTTTAATCAGCTTTCAGACAGACGTAACTGAGCTGCCTCTTGCTAACTGTGCTGGCCCCTTTGCAGGAACTCTCACTGACATCTTCGTGAAAAGAACGTGGACGTCCGGGGCATTACCCTGGATTGACAGTGGTGTGAACGACAGCTGGGCGTAGCCTTGAGAGCCTGCTGCTAGTTCAGCAGAGGGGAGTCGGGCCACTGATTTGCATGGAACAAGAATAGACTCTTTGCCTTGATTCTGCAGTCAGATCTGAACCCTGGGGGGATGTGAACCGCAGGATCAAACTCCTGTGCCCCTAGGGCAGGAGGCTGGTTTTGCAATGCATTCACAGATCACTTGGGGAATGTACCACTCTGCCTAAGGGACCCTGCATAGCCACTCACTGAATCCTGCCTTTCTCAGGCAAAACATGCATTATGATCTATAGGCTTCACCCCTCACCTTACAGCAATAGAACCCCTGACTCCCGCCAAGAGGCGTAAGTGAGACCCGGGCCCAAGACTGCAATGGAAACTTTGTGTCAGTAAAGCCTGAGTAAAAGCTTCAGTGATGCTTGTTTCTTTCATACCCGCTTCCAGGCAGAACAGCCTTGAAGGTGGGTGGGAGAGATGTGGTTATTTAAGAGGCACGTGGACCATAGCGTTACACCAGACAACGTCTCCTGGAACTTATGGGGCAGGTGGAAGAGGGGAAAGACCTGATTTCCCTTGTGCTGGGGAAAGAGAGTGAAAGATGCTGCTTCTGCCCAGTAGCAAAGCACATAAGGACAAGAGAGACACTGGGAGGCTTGCCGGGTTAAACATAGAGGTTCCTGCGGAATAAAATTCTGCTGCCTGATGTGAAAAAACTTCCCTTCCCCCGTCCTCCATCTCACCCAGGAGGCATAACGTGTCCTCTAGTCCCACATCCATTCCATGTTCTGGGTGCCAGGCAAACTGCAAGGCTCACCGGCCATGATGGCAGCTGGCACGGAGCCACCGTTCTAGAGCACACCCGACTCCGTCACCGTGTCCTCGTAGGACTGGTAGAAATCTTTCAAGCACCCCTGCTGCAGCTGGATCTCTGCCACGGCTGCAGGATGGCTCTGCGTCAGGCCGGTAGTTTTCCGGCTGCAGAGGCTTCCGTTGGAGATTTGCTTCTTGAGGCCCGGGCGGACGCCCCGGCAGCAGGAGAAATGCCGCAGGGTGTCATGCAGGAGGTGCCCGCTGAAGAACATGTAAATCCAGGGGTTGCAGCAGCTGCTGAGGCTGGCCAACAGCATCGTGATGGTGAATGCCACGTTGGTGGACTCTGCAAGGAACGTGAAAAACACCACCCGTTAACTCTCCAGAGGGGCACTGACAAAGAGGCAGCGTGGTCCGTGCGGGGGTGGGCAGCCTGGAGCTCCAGAGCCACATGCGGCTCTTCAGGACTTAACAGGCGGCTCCTGGCATAGGTACCAAATCTGGGGCTGGAGCTACAGGTGCCAACATTGCACTGGTGCTCACTGTTCAACCCCAGCTCTGCCCTAAATCACTTCCCCTTAGTCTCCTGCCACTTCCTACCCTCTCCACTGAGCCTGTCACACCCATGTCCCACTGAGACAGAGCTGACGCCAGTGAGCAGGAGGAAAGGGAGAAGGAGGCACTGACCAATGCGGCTGCTCATGGGCAGGATGTGAGGGGTGGTGGGGAGATGATCGGGGCTGGTGACATAGAACTGTTGCTCTTTGGCAATGTGCATTGGTAAATTCTGGCTTCTTCTCAGATTTAGGTTCTCTGGCAACACATTGTAGAACTAGCGAGCCCCAGCAGAAGAGGTTGCTGGTGGCTCGGAGCGGAACTAGTTGGCGGGGCCAGAGGGATAGCAAAGCCCCTAGGTCACCAGAGCCCGCAGCTATCAGGGCAGGGATGCCAGTGTGGGTGCCAGAGCTCATGGGGCAGTAGAGCCCATTGCCAGTGCAGCTGCTGGAAGCACTGGCAGGGCTACTGTGAGAATGATGGGGTCACAGGGAGCTCCAGCAAGGCTGCCTCAGTTTGCAGAGCTGGGAGGTCTGACAAGGCTGCGGCAGCTTAAGGGAAAGCCCACAGACCTCCCCTGGTCCAGAAGTCTCTCTTGTATGGGACCAGTGAGGCCCCGAGGGAGCCGGACGAGGGAGGTCCAACCTGTATAATGGACCTAGAAGACATCACATGCAGAAACCTTTGTCAGATGACATTCCTAGAGGGAGTTGTTAAATCACATGGTTGGGAAAGAGAGCAGGGAAGTTCTGTTCTTGCACCTGATCCTTTTTCATTGCCTTATTGGCCGTTCTTCTTATTCCCTCTGTGGGGAGTTCACTCGACATGGTGGCTCCCAACAAATTGTGATGGTCTACAACTGAACAGGTTTGCTTGTTGTGGTGTTTTTTTTTTCATATTTATCCATGCTTTTCATTATGAAAAGAATGAATGGGAAAATGGAAACAATGTGGTAACATCTGCCCAAGGACTGTTTGTTTGATACAGCTGAAGCTCTTTATCCCACAGCTGCAATTATTTTAAATAAACAAAACCTTGTGTTTTGGTCCCATAGAAAGAATTTGTATTATTTTCTGTATGGTAAGCCATCTCATTTGAATTATGTTGGGGATTATCTTGGGAAATGTTACGCAAGTGGTTGAATTTTTTATTTTATTTTAACAGATCAAAAACCTTTGGCAGTTTACGAAAGCTTTTTTCCCATAATTGATATTACTACTCCTTTTCTTTTAAGTCCATGGAGGATTATGAATGTCAGTATTAGATTAAAAGGAAGAAGGCTTTAGATACTTTTTATAGAAGGGCTCTGTTCCAAATGAACCAAACTCAGACAGGGATGTTTGAGGACACTGGGAAAAGGAGTATGATTTTAAAAAGAAAAAAGGAGGGCTGGTTTTGCAATGCATTCACAGATCACTTGGGGAATGTACCACTCTGCCTAAGGGACCCTGCATAGCCACTCACTGAATCCTGCCTTTCTCAGGCAAAACATGCATTATGATCTATAGGCTTCACCCCTCACCTTACAGCAATAGAACCCCTGACTCCCGCCAAGAGGCGTAAGTGAGACCCGGGCCCAAGACTGCAATGGAAACTTTGTGTCAGTAAAGCCTGAGTAAAAGCTTCAGTGATGCTTGTTTCTTTCATACCCGCTTCCAGGCAGAACAGCCTTGAAGGTGGGTGGGAGAGATGTGGTTATTTAAGAGGCACGTGGACCATAGCGTTACACCAGACAACGTCTCCTGGAACTTATGGGGCAGGTGGAAGAGGGGAAAGACCTGATTTCCCTTGTGCTGGGGAAAGAGAGTGAAAGATGCTGCTTCTGCCCAGTAGCAAAGCACATAAGGACAAGAGAGACACTGGGAGGCTTGCCGGGTTAAACATAGAGGTTCCTGCGGAATAAAATTCTGCTGCCTGATGTGAAAAAACTTCCCTTCCCCCGTCCTCCATCTCACCCAGGAGGCATAACGTGTCCTCTAGTCCCACATCCATTCCATGTTCTGGGTGCCAGGCAAACTGCAAGGCTCACCGGCCATGATGGCAGCTGGCACGGAGCCACCGTTCTAGAGCACACCCGACTCCGTCACCGTGTCCTCGTAGGACTGGTAGAAATCTTTCAAGCACCCCTGCTGCAGCTGGATCTCTGCCACGGCTGCAGGATGGCTCTGCGTCAGGCCGGTAGTTTTCCGGCTGCAGAGGCTTCCGTTGGAGATTTGCTTCTTGAGGCCCGGGCGGACGCCCCGGCAGCAGGAGAAATGCCGCAGGGTGTCATGCAGGAGGTGCCCGCTGAAGAACATGTAAATCCAGGGGTTGCAGCAGCTGCTGAGGCTGGCCAACAGCATCGTGATGGTGAATGCCACGTTGGTGGACTCTGCAAGGAACGTGAAAAACACCACCCGTTAACTCTCCAGAGGGGCACTGACAAAGAGGCAGCGTGGTCCGTGCGGGGGTGGGCAGCCTGGAGCTCCAGAGCCACATGCGGCTCTTCAGGACTTAACAGGCGGCTCCTGGCATAGGTACCAAATCTGGGGCTGGAGCTACAGGTGCCAACATTGCACTGGTGCTCACTGTTCAACCCCAGCTCTGCCCTAAATCACTTCCCCTTAGTCTCCTGCCACTTCCTACCCTCTCCACTGAGCCTGTCACACCCATGTCCCACTGAGACAGAGCTGACGCCAGTGAGCAGGAGGAAAGGGAGAAGGAGGCACTGACCAATGCGGCTGCTCATGGGCAGGATGTGAGGGGTGGTGGGGAGATGATCGGGGCTGGTGACATAGAACTGTTGCTCTTGGGCAATGTGCATTGGTCAATTCTGGCTCCTTCTCCAGGTTTGGTCGGCCACCTCCTCTCCAATGGGCGAGGCGTGGGCCTGCCATGTAGGTTCTGTCCCTCCCCCTCTTCGTTTGTTCCTTCGATTTTAAACTTTCAGCGCAGTGGGGCAGGGATTGTATGTGGGCGCAGCCCTGTGCTCTAGGGGGCGCCGAGCTCAGTTTGGCAGTTGCCGCTGTCAGACAAGTCGTGATACAGGTTGAACCTCTGGGGTCTGGGACTCTCTGCTCTGGCAACACATTGTAGAACTAGCGAGCCCCAGCAGAAGAGGTTGCTGACTTGTCACCCATCATCTCTCACCCCTGCCAACACACCCGACCCGGGGCCTCGCTGCACACTGTCCAAGGAGGCGATCTGACCTCAGCAAACAGAAACCCCCTTTTTCTAAAGTCTGTAATTGTCTCAGCAACAGCCTGCAAGGGGCTGGGTGCTAAAGAACTGCTAGGGACGTGCGCAGCCCAGCCCCATAGAGGAAGAGCTGCTGGCCTTCCCGGAGGTCACTGAAACCATAACAGATGCCGTTAAAATCCTCCCCTTTCTTTCATGGCCTGTTAAGGACCCAACCTGCAGAGCTGCTCCTGGTGGGCAGTCTGGGATTGCAGTGGGCAATGAGGCTTGTGCTGTATGTAGAGGCAACTGTGCATGCTGCTGGGCAGGTAGAGATTGCCGCCTTGGCTAGATTTCTACTACAGCAGCGATCTGGATCTGCAGGCATTTCTCCACAAGCACGACAGGCGAGCACGGGCTCCGCCATCTCCATGATGAGTGTAAGCAGAAAATAAGATGCAAGACCAGATTCCCGCATGCTTGTGAAGTGGGGTCCACTCCTCAAGCGGTCCAGACGATGCCAATGGGCCACTCGGTGAGTGAAGTGCCACCCAGCATGCGTAAGGTGTCTGGGGACCGATGGGAGCTGGGTTATTCTGTCCAGACCGATGGGGCAGTGACCCTGTTGCTAGATTCAAAGCTTTCCAAGCCCGCTGAAGTGAGCAGAACGGCTCCCACTGATTTCAGTGGGCTTTGGATCGAGTTTATCGAGGGAGCTGGCTGCCGTGTCTGCAGAGAGAGTTTCTTTTCTGTAAGAGCCGGTGCAAGGTTAGCAGCTGCTGTGAAACTGGTGTATCTGATCTGCTTGGTGACCCTGCAGGGGGTTTTGTGCGTGAGACAGGAGCTAACTGTCAACAGCTCCTTTTCTAACTAGTCTCAGAGGGCTAGCCATTAGGGGTGTTAACCAATTAAACGGGATTTCACATCCCTAGCAGCCGGATTAGTTGGTAACTTGAAAAACAATGAGCAGTCCTGTGGCACCTTAGAGGCTCGGTCATGAGCTTTCTTGGGTAAAACCCACTTCCTCAAATGAGTTGGAGTGGAAGTTACAGAATCTGGGGTGTATATATAACCGCAAAAGCAGTTACCTGTCCATTGTAGGCCCCGTGTTTAATTAAGCTAATTAAGTCAGGGTGCATGTGTCTCATTAATATTGTGGAAACACAGATATCAAAGGCTTTTGCAGTTAGATATACACCCTGGATTCTGTAACTTCCACTCCAATTCATCTGATGAAGTGGGGTTTATCCACGAAAGCTCCTGACCTAATATATTTGTTAGTCACTAAGGTGCCACTGCTCGTTGTTCTCTTATTAGGTTTATCTAAAGTCACCTGCTAGCTGCTTATATATCCAGGTATGGCAGCTATTCTGATACGTTTCTAAGCCCGTGTCTTGAACTGAGAGAGTCTGACTCTATTCTTCATATGTTAGGCCCCGTCTACAGTGCTCTAGCAGTGTAAAGGAATGATAACGTGGGCATAGATTATCTTTACACCCCTGCCAGAGCAGAGTAAAGGGGTCCTTCCCTTAAATGAGAATCTGGCCCAGGATGTTTTCTCTAATGCAGTGTTTCTTAAACTGTGTTCTGTGGCACACCAGTGTGCTGTGAGGCAGTTGGAGGTGTGCCACGGAGAACAACAGAGTTCAAAATGGCCAGGAGCAGGTAATTATTATTATTATTATTTTTTTTTTGCTCAATAACTCCCCTCAGGACCCCCTCCCCCCATTTTTTTTCCTCAACCAAAAAGCCTTGGTGTTCCTCATTTTAAAAAAATTGTTTGGTGTTCTTCGGTCTTGAAAAGTTTAAGAAACACTGCTCTAATGGATCCTTGGGCAGTAACTAGACCAGATTCTGGTCCCACACTAGACTAAATCTGGAGTAATGCCACTGACTTCCAGTGGAGTTATTCTGGATTTGTGACATTGTAGCATTTGGCCCACTGTTTTCTGACCAATTTGGCTGTGTAATCTAGCATGAGATCTGATTCCCATTCAGTAGGAATACTTTGTCACTAGAGGAGTCTTATTCAAATGATATAAGAGGCTAGAACAGAAAACAATGTAAATGATCCCATCAGAACTTTGTAATGGGTCTTCTTTAGAGGCTGAAATCCTCCTGGACTCTGTGAAAGACAGGCATGGAGGCATTAGGCCTTATTAGGCATATAGGATCATTATAATTCAAGTTCCTTGTCTTCTCCTCTGCCAGTATCTGAAATGAAAGACTTAGAGAAGTATGACTAGGTGAGAACTCCTACCAGTGCAGCAGTTGTTAATTATATTCCACTGATCGTTAAATATGCAGAGGTGTTGATTGGACTGATGGCTCCGTGGGAACTGAATTTCAGACCCAAGCACTGTGTAGCTGTGGCTCTGTGCCTAACAGGTGACATTCACCCTGTGCAGAGAGTCAGCACAAGACTTAGATATTACTTAAGTCCCTTTTTAATCTTTGGAGTTGAATTATGGTTTCTGTGCTGGCCCTTTGCCCAGGGGCTGCATTTCACTCTGACTGAATATCCAGATATAAAATCATAGAACACTAGAACTGGAAGGGACCTAGAGAGATCATTGAGTCCAGTCCCCACTCCGCGTGGCAGGACCAAGCACCATCTAGATCATCCCTGACAGATGTCTGTCTAACCTGCTCTTAAATATCTCCAGTGATGGAGATTCCACAACCTCCCTGGGCAATTTATTGCAGTCACCACAGAGTAGAGTGGAAGAATGGCTTCTCCTGTCTTGCTCACAGCACTCCTGTTAATGCATCCCAGAATCATGTTTGTTTTTTGCAACAATGTTAGACTGTGACCTCCTAAATCCCTTTCTGCAGTATTCTTTCCTGTTCCGTATGCATGAAACAGATTGTTCCTTCCTCAGTGGAGTACTTTGCATTTGTCCTTATTAAACTTCATCCTGTTTATCTGTAAAATGTGAGACAGTCGGAGGAAGATGTGCAAAAACACTTGGAAGATTTAGGAGCGCTAGTCCCATTGGCTTTCACTGGATTTATTTTAAATTTTTTGGATGACTGATTATATTAGAAGCCTTGGGCTGTGTCCAGACTCAGGGTTTTTTTCGAAAAAAGTAGCCTTTCTTTGAAAAAACTTCACCTGCGTCTAGACTGCAGCCTCGTTCTTTCGAAATTAAATCGAAAGAACGCGGCTTTTCTTTCGACGGCGGTAAACCTCGTTGCACGAGGAAGAACGCCTTTTTTCGAAAGTGCTCTTTCGAAAAAAGGCGTTCTTGAATGCCAACAGGGCTTTTTAGAAAGAGAGCATCCAGACTTACTCGCTGCTTTCTTTTGAAAAAGCGGCTTGCTTTTTCGAAAGTACTGCTTGCAGTCTAGGCGCTCTTTTTCGAAAGAGGCTTGCAGTCTAGACATAGCCTTTGATAGGAGTCTATTACTTTACACAGAAATAAATAAAATCTCACGTGTGCCTCTGACAATCTCCTCCTAAAAACACTGCTACCTTTTGTATCTACAGCTCTTTGTGGCATGTTTTCCTCTGAAATGACTCTGATGAAAGTAACACAGACACACTGCTTGTGTCTGAAAAACCAGCTGGTCCTCAAGTGTTGCAAAGCTTTGACGCAAGAACAAGGAAATCAAAGTCGCGCCAGCACATTTTGCATCAGGGATAACATCTTAGCTCTTTGCACTGAAACTCTGTTAAATGCACTTTGGGATGAGACATTGGTAACCTTTTAAATTCCACACGAGTGAAAAACCTAGCATGTAAAATTATTACAAAAAATGAATGGAGCTTTGTTGGCAGTGTGCCTCTGATCTGTTTGGAAATAATTTTAACCATAGGGAAGAGTGGAAAAATCTGCCAGCCCATTTTTGGGTCTCAGAGGCTATGTTTACACTGCGGGGGTTTTCCAGGATACTGGAAACACATAGAGCAGATGCGTGCTTTCAGGGATCCTTATATACCTCATTCTACGAGGAATAAGGGCTTCTCCAAAAGAGGAGGCTTTTCCGCCATTTGGCCCCGTCTACAGGAGGCCAAATGTAGAAAAGCCTCTTCTGGAAAAGCAATTGGAAATAGCTATAGTATAGACATAGCCAGACTGAAAAAGGTTGGGAACCATTCAGAGCTAAAATACACACCTTCATACTGCTCACTCTAAGCTAAATGGAGATGAATGATTATTAAATACATCAGTTTAATAAACTACTCTGTTTGTATGAGCGAGAGAAAAACAGACAGACACGCATCTGGTTTGTATGAAATGTATGCTGTTCAGTCTGTGTGACTGTGTTTGTACCTTTATTGAATGCATGCTTCTGTGCATGGAAGAGAGGCTAGGTGAGTGAGGATATCTCTGTGCACAGAACGTGTGTGCATAGTCTTTGTGCGTATCCAGACTCTGTGTCTAAAGAATCTCTCGGATGGTGAGTGATTAGCTTTTTGTGTGTTTATCAAGATTTTGGTGTCTGCCAACAAAATTTTTCTGCGTATTGGAGGGCTGTGTGTGTTTGTGTTAGTGTGCTGTGCATGTTCTCTGTGCGTGGAGCCCTGCACAGATACACACATTTGTATCTACATCTCTACCCGCAAAAATGGGCTGTGGATACCCACTTCCATATCTGCCAACCTAGATACCTGTGGATATGAAGCGGATATCAATGGGTCTGCTGTGCTGTGTGTGTCTTCCATGTATGCATGTAGTGTGCCTGTGCTGCATATGTGTTTCGGGGGTGTATGGACTGAATTCTGCATGAGTGCATTCTTTCTCTGTGCTGAGTGCGTTGGGGTATGTCTGGACCTGTGCAGGGGGCAAAGGTCAGGCTTTAGAAGCCAGTGGCTCCCTGGGTGCCGACATCCACACCCCAGCCTGGGTCTGGTTGTTACTGGCGAGCTGTAGGAGGCCCCCCCCCCCGGCTCCCTGCCTGTCTCCCATCACTTACCATCATCAGGGGCGTTCTCGTCCCACACCGACCACATCTGCACGCTGAAGAAGGGCGCCCAGCAGGCCACGTAGGCCAGAACGATGACAAAGGTCATCTTGACCGTGCGGATCTTGGCCCTGGAGATGGTGCGCACGCTGCTCACCCGGGAGGGCTGCCCGCAGGGGCACCTGGCTCCTGTCTCCGCCCCGCTCTGCATCTTGCCCCGGAGGTTCTTGCAGATCTTGTGGCAGATGAGGCCGTAGCAGACAGTGAGGACCCCCACGGGCAGGACGAAGACGCACAGCGTGGTCCAGGTGACGTAGGCCCGGGCTCCCCAGGGGTACCTGAAGTCAGCCCAGCAGTCCAGCACCCCAGAACCCTGGCGCACCTCCCGCAGTGAAAATATGAAGATCTGGGGCAGGCTGAGCAGGGCACTGAGCATCCAGGTGGCCCCGATCATCAGGTAGGCCTGCCTGCCCGGCTGCTGCAGGGTGCGCAGCGGGTGGCACACAGCGATGTAGCGGTCCAGGGTCATCATGATGAGCATGTAGGTGGAGGCGAACATGCTCAGCACCTGCAGGTACTTGACGGCCCGGCAGAGCAGGTCCGGCCCCAGGAAACGGTAGGTCACCTCCCAGATCATCTGGGGCAGCACCTGGAACAGCGCCACCCCCAGGTCCGTCAGCCCCAGGTGCAGGATGAAGAGGTGCATCCGGCTCATCTTCTTCCGCAGCCGGTACATGGTCAGCAGCACCCCCAGGTTGCCCACGGCGGCCACCGCCAGGATAGTGGCCAGCACCCCAATCTCAGCCCGGGCCAGCTCCTCATCCCGGGTTTGGAAGAGGGTCCAGTTGAGATCCCCCACCTGGGTCGGGACGTCCCCAGGGCTGCTGCGGGGCGTGCTGTTCCTCTCCCAGCCCGGCTCCATGGCTGGGGAAGAGGGGCGTGGGAGCTGGCAACCGGCTGGCAAGGCAGGAAGAGAGCAGCAAGATGGGCGTGGGAGCTGGCAACCGGCTGGCAAGGCAGGAAGAGAGCAGCTGGGGCTGGAGGCCAGCTGGGAAATTCTTTTTCAAAGCCACATGTTTAAAACAAATCCCTCTAGTGATCTGAGCTGGGGACGGGGGGCTCCGTTTCCTTACCCCCAAATCCCAAAGCTGGTCTTTTCTTGAGAAGCTGAGTGAGTCCGTCTGTCCTTTTTCTCTCCCTGAAGCTGCTTGTCGGTTTCAGACAAGTCCTGAGCTAGCTGAGATCAAATCCCCTCTCCTTTTACCCTGGTCAATTTCAAATCTTCTTGAGCAATGCAATGCCTCCCTGGAAATCTCCCAAATCCCTATTCTCCCCCTTGTGCTAGCCAGATCCAAATCCCCTTTTCCCCCACAGGCTGGTCAGCTCCCAAATATTTCCCCCCCAGCTGTTAAATAGAGGTCTTCCCCCCTGGAAATTTCTTGTTTCTAAAAATGCAGACAAGAACCTTAGAGATGCTCCAGCTACTTGGATTTTTCATCCGGAGGGTAACTTTTGAAAAGGCAGGTTTCTGGTGCCTGCTTAGGTGCTGTCGTGCTGTCTGAGTGCAGCCTGCGAAGTGTGAACAGTGTCTGGCTTGGGTCTGGGTTTTATAGCCTGGCAGCCGACTGCCTTCTCCTGCTCCGTTCTATTCCTCTGCCACCCTGCTGCTGAGCCGCAGCTGGCTGGAGTCAGACGCGGGAGCACGTACAGGTGGGTGTCAATTTCCTCCCTTGCGAAATAAAGGAAGATGCCCTGCATCTCCCCTGCTGAATATCCCTGCTCCTTCTACTTCTCCTACAACGCTGTGATTTCCAGCAGTTCACCAGGCTTGTTTTCACCACCAGTGACTTATCTGCAGGCAGAGGGTGCCGGACCCCAACACCCCTCCCCCATCCTTAAATTGCCTCTTTCATTGTTTTAAATCTTTACATGCTCAGTAGCCTCCCAGACAGGGAATGTTTCTATCTCTTCTCTCACCCTCATTCAGTGGCTGGCATTATTACCAGCCTCAAGCACCATGGAGAGCTATGTCTTTCTTTGTGCAGCTCCGATACCTCCCCTTCCTTCCAAGATTCCAGAGAGAGAGAAGGTGCAGGAGGCAATATCTTAAGCTTTGGGGTTTACAGGAGCCTCCTTCAGGGTGTCACAGCTATTTACACACGGTGCAACATCTTGTTAGGCATAAGCAGCAGTGGTAACCAGAAGGACACTGGGGGGGGGGCCAACTTCAGGTAGGTGGGCAAGGATGGAGACATGGAGTAAGCCCCAGCTTTCCTGCCCTGCTCCCAGCTGGAGGCCCAGACCAGCTCCCTAGCTGCTGAAAGAGCTGGGGAACAAGGAAAGCCGTAGGTGGAACCTGGATGCAAAATAGATGGACCATGGCCCCCTTTAGCCCACCCATGGCTACACCACTGATAAGTAGGTAGCACCTCTGGCGAGAGAGCATTCAAGGTGATGTGGGCACTTAGCAATTCTGGAGTCGGGGGGGGGGGGGGGGAAGAGGGGGCAAAGCAGGTTGTTGTGAGGAGCCGTAAATGCAGGGTCTGCGCGGGGACCTGATTTTGAATATCTTGTTACGAACTTAAGCTCCAGGCTTGTCTTTTCAGCTTGCTCTGCAGGTTCCCTTAGAGGGCTGACGCCAGGTCGGGAGTGACGGTTTGTGAGCAGCGACTGGGCACGGGTGATGGGTGGTTTTGTCTCATTTTTTCTGCATCGGAAAGTTGTAGTAACCATCTCCTTTCACCCACATAGTTGTTGTTAGGGTACTTAGTGCACTGGGGGAGGTACAATCCACCCCCTGCAGCCCAAGATTTTCACAGCTAAGGGACTGATTTGAGTCGCCGATATCGATCTACGTTGTAAAGGAAGTACAAACTGAAGGCCTGATCCAATTCCTGTTAAAGTCGGTGGAAAGATTCTGATGGACTTGAGTGCCCTAAATAACCCAGCTCTGTCTGTGATTCATTGTGTAGCCTCCCCCAGCCTCCATCTGTGCAATGGGTGAAGGATACTTCCCTCCCTTACAAGAATTTGGTGAGACTGGTCAATGCCGGATAACCTGAACAAGCCCTGCTTAGTCCTCCTAGCCCAATTACTGTCGTTTTGGTTCATCAGATGGAAAGCCATCCCCCGTAGGACAGGGAGCAGAAACCTGGCTGCTCCGCTGTGGTTAGTTCAGGACAATCTAGGAGCCAGTCTCTGGACTGTTTGGTGGGAGAGTGATGCCAGCAGCTTCCCCACAACCAGGGAAGAAGAAAAACCCATCTTCTGTGAATCCACCTGCAGAGCAATTTCAGTCTTCAGTCTGGAGTAACTGCCCAGTCTTCCTTGTCCTGCATTTAGGGGGTGGGCCACATGCAAATTCATGGGAAGGGAAAGGGAATGCAAGCACACGATAATCCCCGTCAGCGGGCAAAGTGCATTGCATATATGTTGAGTAAAGAGCAATGCAATAAATGACTCCGTGAGACATGCTGCAGCTTTTGTCAACAGGCAAACACGTTGGAAATTACAGCGCCGAAAATACAGATGACGGACGTACCTCTTATGAGAAAGAGACTGTTTCTTGCTGGCAGGAGGGAAATTGTGGCCTTGTGGCTAAACCCTGGGGCTGGATTTGAGACGTTTTGGTTTCTGGGCCCAGCTCTTCAAAATGTGGCTTTGGCCTAGTCACTTCCCCCTTCTCTGTAACGGGGTCAAGGATATTGCCTTGCCTTTTGGGAGTGCAGTGAAGTTGAATGCATGGGATGCTTGTAAAGTGGGTGGCAATTCTCTGCTGGAGATTGCTCCGACAGCAGAGCCTTATAAATGCACACATGTTTTATGTTAATTAGAAGGGAAAAGAGGATTTCCCCCAGCTTTGGGCTTTAATACCCCCTCCCCGGGATTTTCACTTCTTTACACGAGAGATCCCTTTCCCTGTTTTTTCCTTTCAAAAACTATTTCTCTCTCCCCGGTGCCCTGGTTTTTCTCACTTTCCAGCTATATTCCTTCTTACTAGGAGTCTTCCTGCTCTGAGCAGGGGCAGATAACATGGTATTTCAAACACTGGCAGTCCCCTGCAACCTGCTCTCCTCCAGGAGCTAACTGCTGCCACCATTGGTGGAGACTGTGATCAACTGGGTATGGTACACTGTAGCAATAACAAAAATCCTGGTATAGACACAATCTCAGAGAGTAGATGGGCTGAAAATGAGACACTCTCCTCCCTCTCCTTGCTTTGTGTGGGTGTGTGGGCCATTGTATATGGTCGCAAGAGTCTCTTGGGGTCACGAGGCTACTGTTCTTAATCACAGAACAGAAAGGGAACTCGCAAAGTTGTCAAGTCCAGTCCCCTGCCCTCGCAGCAGGACCACGTACTGTTCAGATCATTCCAGACGGGTGTTGCTCTAACCTGCTCTTAAGTATCTTCAGTGATGGAGATTCCACAACCTTATCTTGAGGATAAGCAGGGAACTGAAATTTACAAAATCCTGGCATGGTGGGAAAGGCTTTGTTTAATTGTTAATACACAGTTCACTAGCTGTATGATGGGGATAAAAATCCTTCTTTACTCTCCAGCTTTTGTCTGACTTAACTGTTGTAATTTCTGTGGGGGCAGGGACAGTCTCTCGTTGTCTGTGTACACTGCTAAGCCCGGCTGGGCCCTGATCTCAAAAAAAGAGCTTTGAAGAGGAATGTAAGATGCATTATTTGTCATTATCTCTGCTCTGGAAAGACTGGTACCAGTAGAGTTTGTATCTGCATAATCACAAGAGGTTGGGATTCTGCAGTGATGGGCACGGTATAAGGAAAAGCATAGAATAGAACCTAGCACCGAAGACTGGTATATTTATCTGTGTTGCAGTGTTCATTCTGACAGGGTTCAGAGGTAGCCACGTTAGTCAGTTTCCACAAAACCAATAAGGAATCCAGTGACGCTTGTTAAAGACTACCCATTTATTATGGCTCAAGCTTTTGTGAGTTGTGGCTCACTTCATCAGATGCATGAAGTGAATGGAAAAAGGAACAGATTGTAGGGATATAGAGATGGGAGTGTTACATCAAAGTTAATTCAATCCGGGTGGATGTGGACTGTTAGCTTCTAAGGTGACACCAGACTCCTTTTTACTGCTCATTCTCTAGATGCTCACTATGGCTTTTTCAGGCCCAGGGGAAAGGATTTTAAGGTTTGTTTTAATTTTTGTACACTGTGATGTGTCAGAATGATTGGTTTGGATCCAGAACAGCAGGAGGTTGCCACAAATGAGAGCCTGAAGTGTGTTGGCAGAGCTTTGAGTTTGGAAGTTTGAGCAACGTCCGCTTCTGCAGTGCCTGTAAGAAACAAGGGCTAATGGTTCTGTACTTTCGCAGGTGCTACGCTGAAAAACGAAAAAGCTGAGGCTTGTGACTGCAGTTCATGCTATTACAATATTCAGTTTTATTAAAGTATCAGATCAAAGTCAGCAGCGTTTTTCTCACACTACCAACCATACAATGTGTGTTATTTTTATGTCGTCTTTGTGTTCACACAAAACAGAAATAATTGGCATCTCTGTTCCGTGTAACAAAATTGATTATACTTGTCAATAACTAATTCTGCTGCCATTCCTTGCAGAAAAAAATTTAAAATTAAGTCTAGGCCTTGATGTAAATTGTTTATTCTGACATGGGATTTGTTGCCTGCAGGTGATTTGACAGCTGTGACTCAGGATATTTGTGATATTATCATTGGTTTTCCTGTAAGAGTTCTACTAATTTTTTAATAAAGGTTTGCAGTTCACCTCAGAAGGGCACAAGGAGCACTGCTTATATTTACTCAATGGTCATTCATGTTCAGGAGTTGACCCTATGGACAGAAACTGTGCATCCCAATAAAATGTATATCTTAGGTACTGGAGTTGTTAGAGAGAGAGAGAGGGATGTATTACAGGGATGACTGCA